AGAGACCCAGGCTGAGAAGTGACAAGCAGCAGCTGGAGCTGGCGGGTGACTTGCCGGTGGATGACAGAGCAGTTGGGCTCCTCACTACTCTGCTACTATTTTGGAAACTTCAATAAACAGAAGAGGTCAGATCAATCTCTCAGTGCTCCAGCACAAACCCTGAGGAGCCCTGTTGACTTTGGTGACAGCAGCAGCCTGAGACACCAGTTTGTCCATATGTACTGTGCTTCATTTGGACCTTGGTCAAACTCATCAGAAATATCCACTGAAAACATTATTAGCAGTCCACTAATTAGCAGGTCTCATCTCCTTTTCTATTGCAAGTTTGCACCAAGGAATTCATTCTCATTTGTGCCATGGAGAATATGACTGTAACTTCTGTGTGGGAGCTTTCAGGCAGCTGGAAAAAAGTATGGATGTTTATATTTTTAAAAAGGGATTGTTTTTGCTGCTGTCAATTATTAATGGCTCTCAGGTCAGGCTAAGAAACAATGCCAGGGATAAATTACCCTGTATACTATTCATATATGCTCTCCCCAGTTGTTTCCTTCTCAACTAGAGGGTTCACCTCACGGTGAACTCCTTGGCATTTGGAAAAAAGAACTGACAAAAGGATGAACTTGGAGTGCCCGTTTATTTATGCATCAACATTTTTCCTACCTTGTCAGGTGTGTTTAATAAAAAAGAAGCAGGAAATGCATTATAATGATAAACACATTACTGCGCAAGAAAAAGGCTGCCCTTGGAAAGGATTGTATTGTTTGATAAATGGTTACAGTGAAAAAACACAGGCTTAACCTACAAAGCTCTTTTCTAAGATCAAAGCAAAGATTCCTGTGCAGCAGGATTCAGCTCTGAGTTTGCAGCAAGGGATGTGGAAGAAAGTTAAAAAGAAAATGCAATCTCCTTCTTTCCTTTTTTTTTTTTTTTTCTTCCCTGAAACTTTTCCCCTAGTATAAAAAATGACTCAAACATTAAATATTTACTGTTAAAATTAATGGAATTAGAGATGAACCCAGATGAGAACACAATAATTAGGGCCTGCTGCAAAGCCCCTTGCTTAAGCCCATGGAGAGACATTGTTTTTAACGGGATCTGGCTCGGGATCCTGGTGAGCCAAAGCAGAGATGGAGTTATGGCATAACCCTGGGACATCCTGGATCTCCTGCAGTCTTTCCATGTGACCTTGCCCAAACTTGCAAGCATTCCCTAATCCCAGGCACAGTTGAACCCAAGTCAGTAATCTGCTGCTGCAAAAAAACCCAGAAGTCCTTCTGGGCTGCGAGACTGTGAGTTCTGTAGGTAAGATGCAGAAGGGGTTTACTGCCCTTCTCAGCAGTGTGAGGCTGACCCACGGCCCTGCACTTAAATAATATTTTAAAAAACCACAGATAAAATGGAAATTGTCCAGAGGAGTACAACAAAAATGATCAGAGGTCTAGAAAACATGATTTATGTGGAAATATTGAAAGGTCTGGGTTTGTTTAGTCTACAAGATTTGAAACATCCTAATAAACTTTAAAGCTGTAAAAAATTTATCAAAAATGGTAATCGATTGCCCTTTATCTCTGTGGGGATGGCAGAAGGTACAACAAAGAAGATTTAGTATAGATAGTATTAAAAGCTGTGAGGTAAATAACGTACTCAAGTACATTACTTAGGGGGGGAGCAGAGTGTCTCTCATGGAGGATTTTCAATGAGTTGGACAAGTACCTACCATGAGGGACTGTGTAACTCCCTGTCCCATGGAGCAGGCTGCTTTCAGCCATGTGGTCCTATGCTTTCCATGATCTAGTGGCTGTCTCAGAATATCCAAGATTGAGACCTTAGAGGTGATGAGCCTTCACAGCATTCCCTGATTTGGAAAAAAGCAGCAGGTGCTCAGCCCTTCTAAAAGTTGTCCCCAAATCAACGACCCTTTCTTAAAATCCTCTTTTCTTTGTCTTCTATGGTTATTAAATAAAGACCAGCAAATTCCCACCTCTTCATGGGGCTGTCATTGTATTTGTGAAGTACCTTGCTGCTCTCCCATGAGGGATTCCTATCTAAGCGAATGCTCAAATGCTCGAATATTAGGATAATGAGACCTCTGGAAAAGCATGTGGTGAATCATAAAGTGTTCCAGGTAGCAGTGACCTTACAGATCCTGCCTGGACACTGGAGAAAGGGGTACCTTGAACAGCCTTTGCTAGATGTGCTTTCACCCATAGCACCACTGAGTACAACAATCACAAAGCACTCGGGATGGTACTAGGTATTGCCTACATGCGCCAGGTGGTGGCCAACACCTGATTAGAAAGGCAGCATCCCCTCTCCCCATAGTGCCTGCCCCGGGGCTGCATATTGTTCGCCCTGAAGCTGCGTGTGCTGCTGCCTCCCTGTGACTGAGCAGCTCTGCTGGCCCTCGTCTGCCTCGGTAAGGCTCAGCAACGTTCTCTGTTTCAGTCTTTTCTGCAAAGGGCCCCAAAATCTTGGTCAGAGTTTGAGTCAAAACTGACCACAGGACAGAAATCTATCAGAAACCAGGCTTTTTATTTACTGTCCACCAAACCCAAATTCCTTGAATTATGAGCATGAGATGAGGAGTTTGTGAAGGGAAGGAGCACAGATTTGCAGCCAGAGTAGAGCTAGCCATGTGGCATCTTCAAGGACTTGGGGGTGATGTGAGGGCTCCCCAGGGGCCAGGAGAAGGATGCTGTGCCCAGTGCTGCTGCAGCCATGCCTCTTCTTTGCAACCCCTGTTTCCTGCCCAGCTCTACAGCTGTGCGAGGTACTATTTGGTCCTCACATGAATGCTGAGAAAATCACTAGTTATATGATACGGGAAATAAAAAAATCTGCTTCCAAGTGTAAACCAATGACTGTGGCAATGGTTTGCAAACATGGGGTTATGGCTCCAGCTCATCTTTTTTTCCTCAGTTCTGGGTACAGTCACGAGCCTGGCAGGAATCCATGTCAGCTAAAATGCATGGCAGCAACTGGCGTCTCCTGGAGTTTTGGAGCTGAGTGGGGTCACAACAGGAAGGAGTTTGGGAAGGCAGCACTGCAGGGTTAGGAATAAACATCTCCCCGGGGCAGATGTTCCATAATTGGCCATGACAAGGCTTCTTTCTCCAGAGAGCTGGAGCTGGCCTGTGAGGAAGCAGAATGAATCACTGCTCCGGTCCAACTTGGCAAGTGCCATGATTTAGCCCTTCTTTGCACGAGGAAGAGATGATGATATAGACTGAAAGACTGGAGAAACATAGCCAAAGGCTTCCGAGCTGGGAGATGAGTTTGGGTTCCCACTCATTTTTTGCAGGTTTACTCAGATCCTTAGAAGGAAACCCTGGCAGAAAAATGCTGGTACAAAAACAATTCCCTTTATCAACAATGCAGAAGGAACAATGGAGACTCCCGAACACAAAGCTCATACAAACAATAATGACCATTTTATTTCACATTGTTAAAACAGCAGTTGATATGCAATTCTTCATTCCAGCCCCCCACTTCGTTAACTATTTCTGTCGCCCTTCTGCTCCCACATACAGATTTATGGGAGGGGATCTTAGTGGTTGGTGTTGGTGTCCTGCAATGTGGTGGTGACCACATGGCTGTGCAGCCTTTTGTGAAGATGAGGATTGAGCGTGGTTTCCTCATGCCATCCTGGACCCTTGGAAATGTCTCACTTGCTTTCAAATATGAGGAAAAAGGAGTGTTGTTTCTGTCATCCTTTCTCTGAAGGGTGGTCATCAGTGCTATCTTTAAAGCTACTTGCCATCTCAGCAATTTTACCAAGCCTGGTGACCTGACGGCAGTTTACAGCCCATTCAGTATCTGATGATTAATCCCCTCCCTTTAAAACTATGCACTTAGTGGCAGAACCCCACAAAAATATTGGTGGAGCCAGAGCTGCTTTGCCAAGTGGCAGACTCAGACTTGCTCTTCTTGGAAAGCTGGTTTCCTGTCACTGGCTTTCTCTCATCACTGTTTTCCAGTGGTTTGGAGAGATGAGAAAAGGAAAAAAAAAAGTTCCTTCCAAATACCTCTTCTCTTTTACATCCCCCCCCCCCC